TTCTTTATTCTTGAAAATATATTTATACTATTACGTGGTGGTAAAATAATAACTATCTTTTTTAAGCAGCTCTAAGTTATTAATAGAAAATTCGCAAATAATTCAAATACTTACCATGGAACCATCGTCTTTGCGTTGAGCAGCGCTAAATAATCGCCTAACAAATGGCATTCAACGATACTTAGATTACACCCGTGGCAGAGTCGTTTTCATTACCATTATCCATTCGCATTCAAAGTCCCCAGGCGGTTAGGTCCACAATTTGTATGCTCCACCCAGGTATATGTGGTATATACACCACTCCTTTTGAGAGATCGGTTCAGTTCAGCTCAGTTCAGTTCAGTTCGGTTCGGCTTCTTTTGGGTCCGGTCTTCGTCGCTGCGAGCGTGGAAAATTATAAATTAATCCATTACGTAGATTATGCAGATGTCCAAACGCATTAAATGTCCCCCGATCGAGAGGCTTGGGATCGGGATCGGAATCGGGATCGGAATCGGGATCGGCTGGTACAGGATTGGATTGGGATGGCTTGGTATGGGTCTTGGACATTAAGCGTTGTTAATGAATGAACAAACGACTGCTTTTTGCTTGGTTTCAGACCAGCTTGTTGGGCTTGAGTTGTTTGAGGTTGCCTTAAGGTATCAACTCAGAATAGCAGTATTTAGATATTTAGTTAGTTTCTCAAATGTAGGTTTACTTTTATATCTTGATATTGCTTGATATTGCTATATTTTTCTTTTATATCTCTCTCTGTATATACTTCTATGCGTTTTTTCTGCCCGTAATTCCTTTCGAAAAATCACATATTCAAAGTCAAAGTGCCGCTGAGCAATTTTATTCTCCTTTCGATTCGTTTCGTTTCTGGGACTACCATTGATTTTATTTCTTGGCTCGCAATCATTAATCAAAATCGAGAAATCATTAGGTTTGCGTTTAGGCTGTGAGGTGTCAACTTGCCCATTGTTGTTGCTGTTCTGGGCCTTGTAATTGAATTGTGAACAGGGGGGGGAAAGGCGAGTGTGGAGAGGGGAGAGGGGAAAAAGGGGCCTCAAAGTGTACAAAATTAAATGTTTTTTTTTCGGTCGGAGAGACTTCACCGAAAAAGTGTGAAACATGCTGCGAATGAAGCTGAGAAAAAAATAACTAAAACCGAAATTAAAGGAAATAGCCGCGAGTCCAAAGGCAAGAAGAAGTTGAAGGAGAAGAGGAAGAGGAGGAAAAACCCAAAACCGAAACGAAACTCGAAAAATAATGGGTTAAGGGAGGGGTTCGAATGCTCGGTTTTTCAGTTTTTTAAGTAAATTAAGCAGAACTCTTTTTTTTTTCTTGTGGATCCTATCCAGTCGGCGACACAAAAGTTGATTTCATGATTTTTCAAAATCCCACCAAAGCCCAAATTCATTATATATTAACCACAGTATGTGCAGCCGGCGAATTCGTCAAACTGTTCAGTTAAAAAAATGGAGTTCCATGGAAGACTTCAAAAAGAAGTTTTGCATATTAAATTTTAAGATCTATGTTTTAGTTTGATTCTACACTAACGTTTATTTATTCATGTTTAACCACATATCATTTAAATCAAATTAATTATTAGGTTTTTTAATTTATCAAAAAACATCTATGTAATTCAACTAAATATTGTTTTTATGTATTTAGCTCCTTACATTTTTTATGAATATCTAAATGCCAAGATATTTTATTTTCTGAATGACCACTGTAAATACACTAAGTGCTGAAAGATTTACAAAGCGTCTCCATCTAATAACTTTCATATTGCCGTCTGCCTTCAGTAATAACCATAATTTTGCTCCGCAACCAAAACGAATTTGTCGCCTTTGGTCGGGTGGACGGCGATCCGCGGCGAATTGCCAACTTTTCGTTGGCTTTTGCGTGGCCAAAAAAAAAAAACATTCCAAACGACTTCGAAAGAAACACGAAAAAAACGCTCAAAGCGTTGCAGATTGCATTCGCTGCGCAGACTGAAGAGTCGGAGGCGATCATCATGACCAAGGAAATGATGATGACCAAGCAATGCCCTTTTGCATTAATAATACATTTTAGACACTTGGCCAACCAGGCTTGTGGCCCAAACACCAAGTCACACTGGTTGGCTGGCAGAACACTTCAAACTTTTTTTTATTAAATTAACCAAAATGTCAAATGTTAAAAAAACGATTTACAAGTGAATATGTTCAATGTTCAAAAAATGCCTTAAGAGTAAGAGTAATTTGTATTTATATTGCTTCTAAAGCTGACTTTCTAATAGACAGAGAAAATACGTTTCGGTATATCTTACATCTTTTTTATTTAAAAATGTAAAATGCAAAAATGTTTTAAAAGTAAAATATGAATAAATTCCAATATTAATTATAAATTTAACTGTCTAATCAGTCTACATAAAAGTCTAGAAGCTTACGTAGTTGACGCACTACGAATGGTCAGCAGTAAATTGATTAATGTCAAATAAAATCAAGGGCTTACCAAGTGAACAGTTTCTAGAACATTAAACAGAATTGCAATGCCCTAAAACCTGGTTGAAAAAATGTAAATTTCTTGGAATTTCGAACCACTGTTTGCTCCTCACCTGTCTTACCTTTTTTACCCGCTCTGCCCCTCTCTCTTTCGCTCCAAATACGACTCTCTCACTCCCACTCGTAGGCCAAAGCAGGTCTATTAGGCTGATTGCCTTTCCGTTTTTTTTTCGTTGAGTTGTTTTGTTGGTGTTTCGCCTGGCTTTCGGCCAAGTCGATGATTATGGCCAAGACGATGATGCCGTTCACTTGCCGACTGCATCATTAAATTATTATTGCTGGCAGCTATTTTCCAGAGAGCGCTGCAAAAGCCACAAAAATTGGAAATCGCGTGTCTAATGCTTCGTTCGAGATGCCCGCCGGTTCTTGGATACCGGCCTTCTTTTCCTTTCCTCTTTTTTTTTGTTTTGTTTTTTTGTTTTGTCTTTTTTTTTTTTTTTTTTGTTTTTTTTCGGCCTAATGTGGCTTAATTATACAACAACAATATGGTTACTGTTAGCCAGCAAACAGCAAACAAAGAGCCAAGAACTGGCAGCCATCAAATCCATGTCAAAAGTCCCCCCGGAGATCAGTTCATCGGGTTTTGGTATGAAAAGGAGATGCGACCAGGGTCTCTTTCCTTTTCCTGAGAAAAAGTTTCTCGATAATTCGATGCAGCTTTTTGCTCTCCAGGTTTCCTGTTTTTTTTTTATTATCTTCCGTCTGCCCCAAAACGTTGGCCCTGTCTTGGGGTCCTGGTTTTTTCCTGCCGCGCTGACTTGTCTAAAATTCCACAAACTCATAAATGTTGATGCGTCTGGTTCGTCATCGTCATCAATGTCGGCATTTCTCGTATGTTGGACAATGGACAGGGAGCACAGCGAAAAAAAATGAGGCCTTCAGTGGAATTAAGGAGATCCAAACAGCAGATCCAATCTAATGTTTTTGCTCTTTAAAATATCTACGTCTTATAAAATGTTCATGTCTTATTAGTTTAAAATAAAGTACAAAAAAAGTAGCAAAAATATACCATTTAAAATACAATACCATTTTTTTCCGTGTGCCTCTTGAGACTTTCTTGGCTAGATTAATTTTGAATCGGTTGATGTCGAGTCAAGATGAGAAAATGTGGCTTCGTTTGAAGTTATTAGATTGCATGGCTGGTAATTGACAATTAATTGCCATCGACAACTGCAAATGGAAATGGAATGAACTCGCAACCGGGAAACTGGCGGCGTTTTTCCATGTGTGAAATCTGACGCAAGTTTTCACACCAAAAATACACACAGATATTTACAAACGTGTGAGACTGTTAATGGAAAATAAACAAGAAAAGATCAACAGCAAACAAAAATTACAACATAAAGTTGGTGCGGAATATAACATACTTTGATCGATTCTTGTTTTTGATTTTTGTCTCTCTATCTAAAAAAAAAGTGATATAATTTTGATGTGATTTAAAAACCTCTATGCCATTATTAGACACTCAAGAAGCACTTTAATAATCTCTGTCAGCAAAAACATTCGAAACAGCTCACCAAAGACGGCAAAACCTGCGGAAAATCATTAGCATTACACAATCAAATTTTGCAATTTCAGCTAATTTAATATCAGACATTACCCGGTGTAAACAAGCTGAATTTGTGCCGCTCAATTGTTGCAAATGGAAAACATTTGTTAAATTAGCTTTTTATTGCTGCTGGCGTGGTGTCGGCAAAACAACAAAGAAAAGGCAGAGCTTTTATTGCATTTTTTTAGATAAAATTATAGACATCTAACTACAAAAGTGTGAACCGAAATGTGAATTGTTTAGAATCGAACTTTTCCTCAATTTTTTATTGTTTTTGTGGTTTGCTTATCGAACAGCAAATTTCGATCCAATTATTCGGCGGTGGTCTTTAAAGTTGTTAATTGATAAAAGCTTTAGAAATCGCACGGAATTTGTCCGCTTTGCTGTTTGATCTAGACAAGTATATAGATACACAAATTTTTTGCAATTTGCTAGAATATAGGCTTGGAAAATGTGAAGAATGCCATAAATTGTTTGAGGTTTTTATGAAAATCAAATAATTATTAATTGATTTTCCATGATGTTATTCCATTTCAAGTTTTTAATTAATTTCAAAAATGTGTTGATCTAAATAAAACGATTATTGCAGTTTCTTACTTCTAGCTTTGATTTTTCATTTGTTTATGCCTGTTTTTGATTTTGCTCATGAATTGTCTTCCTCAAAAATCAAACAACAATATTGTTATTTTGGAAGGCGAATAAAATTTGATTTTATGTTCCTAGACTTTTTATTTCTTTTTATTTGACTTTCAAAATACATTCGGTTAAAAATAACTATATTTACTTTATGGTGAATATAAGATTATTATTTTACATTTAATAATTTCGCAAGGTTTTCTTTATTAGTACAGTAATTATAATTTAGCATTGTTCCTGCCACAAATGTTTCATGTTCCTATTTTTTTATGTATTTCTTGCAGATTGCCAAACTGGTGCCATTGATCGAATCCGGTTGCTCCCGCCGCGCCCGCTTTTTGCTCTGCTCGGCGTTATTTCCGCTCTGCACTCCGGACGTGCCACGCCCCGTTACCGCCTGCAAGTCGCTGTGCGAAACCGTTAGGAACGAGTGCTCGGTCAATGCTCCGCCGGAGCTGATGGAGTTGTGGCCCCAGTTCCTGAACTGTGACGGACTGCCGCAGCCGGAGAAGCACGAGCTGTGCATGCAGATTCCCCAGGAGGTGGGTGGCTCTGGTGGATCAGGTGGCTCAGGTGTTCCCGCTGGTCCACCACCCACCACCAGTCCGCCCAGCGGTGGGGAAGGTCATCCAACGTACCGCTTCTGGAAGAGTGGGGCACCACCTGCTCCGGGTTCCAGCAACGGCGGCATTCTGTGCCCCCAGAACTTCAGCGGCAGTCCCTTCAACCCGGAGGAGTGTGTGCCCCAGTGCCAGCGGGATGCCTTCCATACCAGCGCCCAGAAGAAGCTGTCGGAGAGCCTGATCCTGGGCCTCTCGGCCGTCTGCTTCGTCCTCACCTTGTTTGCCCTGGTGACCTTTTGGGCGGAGCCCACCCGCTTTGGCTACCCAGAGCGACCCGTGCTCTTCCTGTGCCTGTGCTACAACCTGTTCAGTGTGTGCTACCTGGAGCGGATCGTGTTCCACAACCAGGCTAGGATGCAGGACCAGGGGCGTCTGATGATGCGACCAGCCTGTCTACTGACGCCACCCTGCCTGGCCTCCTATATAACCACCTCGTATCTGAGTTTGTGCGCCGCCAGCTGGTGGTTGATATTCGCCCTGTGTTTCTACCTATCCTCCCACAAAAAGTGGTCCAGTGAGGCGCTCGAGAAACGATCCGGACTGTTCCATGTCCTGGCCTGGGTTCCTCCACTGGCCCCGCCCATTGCCGCCTTGTTGCTGGAGAAGGTGCGTCCCAGTGAGTTGACTGGGATGTGCTATGCCCCGGGATTCGTGGAGCTGCCCGCCTTGGTTCTCCTGCTCCTGGGCCTCTATTTTACACTGAGGGCCTCCAGATCCCTGCTCCTGCTGCAACAGCAGCTGCAGCCCACTCTGGCCCACCATCGATTCGGGCAGATCCGGAAGCGTTTCGTCATTTTCTCGCTGCTCTATTTCGCACCCACGGCAGCGGGAGTGGTGGCCGCTCTGCTCGAACGGTACGCGGACTCCGTGCCCAGTTGCTCCACGCTCGAGGACTGTGCCCCGCCCACACCGCTGAGTGCCTGGCCCGCCCTAATCAGGATATTCTTCCAGCTGGTGGGCGGAACACTGACTGGACTGTGGGTGTGGTCGCGCAAGACCTGCGAGAGCTATAGAAATCGGCTGGTGGCCGGAGGCGGCGGAACGCCCACCTCCTCCTCGCTGATGAACCACCAAAGCAAATCGGCCGGGGCACTGCCCAAAAAGCACCTGTACACCAGTGGCAAGTCCATGATGGGGGCACCACCCCTCTACGCTGGCATCAGTTTCCACAATGTGCCCGTTTACAATCCCAATCAGTCGAGGGTTTGAGACCCAATCCCATTCCCCCCAACTCCATTGTATATACTTACACTCATGATCATATTAAATAGGTGCACCTATAACATTCTAAAACAATTCGTTTTAGTACACAGAAACAAAAAAACATTGCCAGTACAAAATTTGATTTTGAATAATGTAAAATTGATATTAGAAAACGGTAAGGACAAGCTTTTTCACTATCTTTTTAATCATAACAAGATTAGTACCATCAAAACAAATAATCATTTCCATTCATTTTTTTACTCTGATATTTTTTATTTGGCAATATACAAGTATGGCTAAAAACGTGACAAAAATGATTGCTAAGGCTTTAAAGTCGCACTAAAATGGATTCATATAAAAAGCTATATATGTACCTATTAATACGATCATGGGTGTACATAGGAACCCTCACTTAACCCTAGAAGGCTTTAAGCTCTGATCTAAGTACATGAACGAGAACGATTATTGTACGCCTAGTTAGTAAGCCCCCAAAAAGGAAAAACTGAAATGTGTTAATAGCTTTAAAGTTCGCCCTGCCCCCAAAAGTGCATCCATCACCTCCAGTTTTTATTAGTAGTTCTTTAGCTTATCCTAAGTCTGTACATAGAGAAAATGTTTTTTTTTCTTATTTTAAATAAATTAAGGTTAAGTAGTCATAAGATTACCATTCAATTTAATTGCATAGTTTAATAAATTGTGAATAATTTAAATGAAATTGATTATAATCTAATGGTGCTTTTACTGCAGTTGGATTTCCTAAAGGGGAAGAGGAAGGTTTTAAAATTGTTGTTGTCGATATTATTATCTTGATGTACATTGGCTTGAAAGTGTTAAGAAAAATGGAATTGCCGTTCTTCTGGTTGAGTCTGAAGGGTTACCCTCCGTTCTCACGACATCTCCGTCTCAGCCCCAGGTGACCAGGTTCATCACTCCGAAAACCCCATCCATGTGGGTTAATGATGCGAAAGTAGCCGCCGCAAAAGGCAAAAGGGAGCGCGGGGCGGAATTTCGAGGGGAACTGCTGCGAATTCGTTTAATTGCAACAAAAAGGCTAAATTGTTGCTATTGTCTGCGGTCCGAGCGATGGCAATTAGAAGGAAAATGCTTAATGACAGAGCTCAGCGTTGATTGTCAGCGTTTTGCTGGATCCGGCACTTGCACCACCGCACCCCTGCACCACCGCGGCACCGCACCACCTGCACCACTCCACTAGCTAATCCTCCACCTGTGGCTCTGCGTGTTCCCCATTTTTCTTTCCATGTATTTTCCCTTTTTTTTTTAGCCACCCTGAGAGTGTCACACACATTACAAGAAAGGCCTTGCGGTTTCGGTTTTTTGATAAGCGACTGGCCTGTACCCTGTAATCAAATAATAAATCCATTATATTTTTTAAAGAGTTTTCCAAGGACCTTTTTTAATGCATAACAATTTTTGGTAATGCTAAATAGATTTAAAAATTTGATATGTTTTCGCAAATACTTTTACACCTGCCGAAATACATATAAGAAAATATATATCATTTTATAAGTATCTTACTCAAATCTTAAGCAGAAACTGTATATAAACATCTGATATATTATTTTGATAAATTATTCGTAAAAATAAAATAATTGAAAATTAATAAATTATTATTATTTTAGATGATTTTCAGTAGGTCGTGCTTACAGGGTATTTGGATATCGCCAGAAACACGAGTATTAACAAAGGCACAATTAATTTGATTGAAGCTGCCACACCGCGTGCCGGCAACGTTTCTATCCAACAAATTGCCGGGCGGCTGTTGCAGGCAACAAGCCGAAACACAGCAGCAACATCACAGCAGCAACATTGCCGCAACAGCAACTGTGCAGCAAGCGTGCAATTAACTCTTGTGCGCCAAGATCAAAGCGATTAAAGCCGCCCTGCCGCCCTGCCCCGCGACTCGGACTCGGTCTCGAATAGACGGATGGGCGGATGGAGTTGGCCCAGAGCAGGGAACCAAGACTGAAGACCGGTACGAGAAGAGAGGAGACTGGTGCCAAGCCAAGCCAAGCCTGACGCTTTATCGTCATCCACATCGGAGCTGTCGTTTCTGTTCTTCTTGCCCATTCTGCACAGGAAAAAATAATTTGGGCATCGAAGCAGAGCTCAAAACAGTTAAGATAAAGAATAAAAATTGTAAAAAACATTAATCTTAAAGAAAATTTGCTTTATTTTTGTTCTAAAACCTAGGCACTCTAGAGTTGTAATTATAAGTTGCCACTATATAAATAAATAAAATAAATAATTTAGGTTAATTTTACCTTTAGTAAATTCTTACAGTATGCACTGGCACTAACTGATTTTTGCTCAAGTGGTTTTAATACGGATCCAAAAAACAGCTAACAAACCTGACTTTTTTATTTGCTTTCACAAATATTTTTTAAGTTCATAAATTTTGCAAGATTACAATATAGAATATTTTATTAATTAATTTTTGTTACTAAAAACGTATCCTATTTTTTGTCCGTGTAAGAAAAAGAAAATCGGCATGGGGATACAACGAGAACGGATAGGGGACAGCCTAGTAAGTTGGCCAAGAGCCAAGAGCTAGGAGAGAGCAACCTGGTCAACAGGTAAGCGTGGCGGGAAGTTTGGGGCCTATAGCACAATCGCTTGCCATTTGCGGGTGCTAAATGAGGCTAAGAACTCTGCGGTTTTGTGCAATTTTCCGAACTAAATGCACCGCAACACAAAACGAATTGAGAGACAAATGCATCTCAATGGGCCCACCAATATTGGCCATTAACTGTGGCCTTCAACCGGTTTCGGCTTTCAATTAGATGCCAGCCGGTCATGTTGCTGCTGTTTTCCTGGCCATTATAACTGAAATTAGATTCATACTTCTTTCGTTTGTGGATCATAGTCAACGTTTAAAAATGTTATGTTTTTTTTATTAGCTCATGGCCTTCAAAAATATAATTAATAGGTAAATTAAATAATCAATTATACTCAAAATTAAGCACAAACAGAAAAGGGTTGCACCCATAATTAAAAACCAACATTAAACATAAGCATTTCGAATTTGAAACCACACATCTTTAGAGAGTAACATTATAAGTCAACTTTAAGAATTGCATACTTTTAGGATGACTTTCTAAAGCCTTAGTACCGATATTAACCACCAGATTCGTTTTGGATCAACTGAAAGAAAGACTTACCACTAAGGAAAACTGGTTAAAGCCCCGTCTTGGCCGAGATTTATCGATAAAGCGGGCCAAAGCAGCTCCTCGAACAGCTGGGCCCGATTTGTTTGGCCAAAACACAGTTAAAGCCAAGTGCAGACCGGTTTTGGCCAAGACTGAAGAAAGACAAAGTGCCGGAAGAGAAAGCATTCTCATCCAGCGATCACTTGAATTGTTTTTGTTGACGTGTGCAGCACGCTAAGAAATGCCCCATTTCAGTTGCTATTGCTAAAAACCTTGATAATTATGGCAGCAAGTGTGGTAAAAACTGCCAAGTGCCCAAGACGAGGGTCTGCCAAAGATCTGGTTAAAAACACGGCGAGTGCAGGGCTAAAATCCAGCAATGAGGCCAATTGGTAAGTGGAATGCGATTAAGGCGAAAGAATGTCAATCAAGCTCTCTGAAATTCCAACAAAAAACAGGAATTGGTTTCTTCTGTTGGCCGCGGTCTTCCTGGTGACCTTTGCGACCCGCTTCTACAAGGTGACCGAACCGGATCACATATGGTAACTAACTGACCAACTTGCACTTGCAAGTACATCACCATCACCATCACCGGATCTATATGTTTTTATCCATCCTCAGTTGGGACGAGACTCACTTTGGCAAGATGGGCAGTTGGTACATCAACAGAACCTTCTTTTTCGATGTTCATCCACCGCTGGGAAAGGTGGGAGTACTTGAAAACATTATGTCTGCCTTAAATATACTTAAAATGTATTACTAATTTCTTATTCGATAGATGCTTATTGGTCTTTCTGGCTACTTGACGGGCTACAACGGAACGTTTCCCTTTGAGAAACCAGGTGATAAGTACAACGAAACTCGATACCAGGGCATGAGATACGTGAGTAATGAAAATTCTGGTAAAAAAGAAAAACCAAGGAATACCTAAAATACATATTATTTTTATATTCCCAGTTCTGCACCACTTTGGGTGCTTTGATCATGCCCATGGGATTCGATACTGTCTACGATCTAACGCGATCCCATGAAGCTGCCTTGCTTTCGGCTGCCTATCTTGTTTTTGGTAAGTTACATTTTAGAGATTCTTTTCTTAAAACTCCCATAAGAAATTATAACTCATTGTTTGTCTAATTCTAATTGTTGTTGTATTTAGACGTGGGTCTCCTGACCCTGAACCAGTACATCCTTCTGGACCCCATCCTGCTGTTCTTTATGATGGCCTCCGTGTGGGGCATGGTGAAGATCTCGAAGAGCACTGCCTCCGGAGGATCGTATGGCCTGCGCTGGTGGTTCTGGCTCTTCCTCACCGGCACCATGTTGTCCTGCACGATCAGCGTGAAGTTCGTGGGTCTGTTTGTGGTGCTGCTGGTGGGTCTGCACACGGCCACAGAGCTGTGGCTCATCCTCGGCGACCTGGGGCAGCCCATTCTGGAGACCGTGAAGCAGGTGGCCTGTCGGGCCATCACCCTGATCATCTGGCCCATCCTCCTGTACACCCTCTTTTTCTACATCCATTTGACTGTGCTCAATCGCAGCGGCAATGGCGATGGCTTCTACAGCTCGGCCTTTCAGTCCAGGCTGATCGGCAACTCACTGTACAATGCCAGCATGCCCAGGGATGTGGCGTACGGATCGGTGGTGACCATCAAAAACCACAAGACGGGCGGCGGTTACCTGCACTCGCATCATCACCTGTATCCCAAGGGAGCTGGTGCCAGACAGCAGCAGGTGAGTTGGCAATTTTGCAAGTTTCATAATAATTATGCACCCCGAAATAGTCTTTCGATTTGTCAAATTTTTGGAGTGCCAATAGATATTGTACGAATGAACACCACCATGTCTCAGAGTGATATAATATAGAATTGCCAAAATAACTGCAAATTGCATATCAAATCGCAAATTTGGCTTTTAAAGTTTCCTAGATCTTTACTCTACGATTAAATATATTAAAAACTACATACAGAAACCCACGTTCAACCGTTTTAGATTACGACATACACCCACAAGGACGAGAACAACAAGTGGCTGATCAAGCCGCACAACAAGCAGCGGTTGCCCAAGGACAAGCTGCAGATCCTCCGGCACGGGGACATCGTCCGGTTGGAACATGTGGCGACCAGGAGGAATCTGCACTCCCACAACGAGCCGGCGCCGGTGACCAAGAAGCATCTGCAGGTCACAGGATACGGCGAGGTGAGTTCGGTTGACCTCCTATTTATAAGGTCATGCAGGGGGCCAAAACCAAATCCCTTGACCAATTCCAGTTGGGCGTGGGCGATGCCAACGATGCCTGGCGCGTGATGATTGTGGGCGGCAAGGTCAACGAAACGGTGCACACGGTCACCTCCCGCCTCAAGCTGATCCACCTGCTGCAGAACTGCGCCTTGACCTCCAGCGGCAAGCAGCTGCCCAAGTGGGGATTCGAGCAGCAGGAGGTGTCCTGCAATCTCAACGTGCGCGACAAGAACTCCCAGTGGAATGTCGAGGACAACGAGCACAAGCTGTGTAAGTACACTGATAAATAGAAACTCTAAATGTAC